TCAGCAGTTGTTTCTTGCAAACTGTATCAGATTACAAGCAGATTTCTAAAGGAAGATTTCTCAGGTATGGCCTGAGAAGTAGGTTCAGTTTTTTCTGACATTATAGAAATATATATATAAAAATATATAAATGTATATGGATATATATGCATATAAAAAAAAATATTTTTTTTTTTCTTCTCTAGATCTACATACACATGGACAAAAACCATACACACAATTATGATACATCACCTAGTGGTATGTTTCCACTGTGTCCTCCATTTTATAGCAATTTGAAAAACTTTTTTCCTGTCTTTCATCTCTTCTTGAAGTTTGGCTTTTGGCCATCACGTTATGTAAAATAATTTTCTGTGAAAGAATGGCATGATACATCTCACAGGCTTTTATTGCTGAGTTATAAACCCACTTCTAACATTTTTATCCTTCACTCTTCCTTTAAGCAGAAAGGCAGCTATGTAACACCTGTAACATTTTTTCTGCAATGCATGAATATATATGAATATATATGTCCTGAAAATACAGTAGTAAAAAATAGTACTTTTGTAGTTTCCATAGAGTTATATGAGCAGTAGGATTGCCATTCATCCAGAATTTTGACTAAATAGCTAGAAGTTATTAAAAGAAGTTGCCATAATGAAAGGCAAAATCAGATTTCTGTGGCTTTCAGTCCTGTAGGATTAAGTGAAGAAACTATGAAAAGTTTGCCATTCAAGTTTCAAATCAACCATGAATAAACAACTTTAGTACTAAAATAAAGAGGCTTTCTTTTCAGTTAACAAGGGCTGTACCATCTCAATGCATATTTGGGAGGTGTGTTGTGATCTTTTTTTTGTTTTTTTTTTTCACATAGGTTAAAGTTTTTGTTGTGAATATTTTACTGATATTTCTATACAGCCATGTTATATCACATACTTTTCCAATAAGCCTACATTGTGTCAATTTATTCACATGAACTTTTCATTATCACTTTTTAAAACATGATGAGGTTGTTTGTTGGGTTTGTTGTTCCTCTTTGCTTTTCCCTTCTTTTCCCTTGCAAAGCAGAATATTGAGTGCTGTTGATTGTTGGGTTAAGTTTATTCCATGTCCCCAAACTCTCGTAGAGGCCATTTTGTGAAAAGAAGGAGAAGGGGAAAAAAAGATAAGAAAGGATGGGCATAACTATTTCAGATTGTTCCTCCATCTCTCATTAGTGTCTTGTTAAAATAGCAAAGTGATGCAGAATGAGACCATCCGTGGCATATGTGATGCTTAAAAAAAAGGCCTCTGAACAGATCCTACATTCCAAGAATTGTCTGAGCAAGAAATTTTCCCATTTTGTATGTTAATAAAACCTTTCTTCAAAAAGAAAATGAAGAGCAATGTTCTTCTGTAGTTCAGGTGTCATGAGTATTACACATAAACCTGGATTCATCTCAGCTCACTTTACAGGGCTGAGGAATCTAAATCTAAGAATCTTCATCTGTCTTTAATCAATGAAGAGAGGTAAGGCTTTCCCTCTTTGTTTTCCAAGGAAATTTGGGCAATTTGGATCCTAATTTAGGCACTTAGTTTAAGTGACTAAAATGTTAAAGGATGGATCTGAATTGCCTTGTTTATATCACAGATCTTAGCCCTAAAGCCAGCTCACAGCTACAGAGATGTGCCTCATCACTAAGGCTCTTTGTACTTTGATCAGAAAAATTTACTATTCCATCTGTGAACCTGAGTTGGGTGACCTTTGCTGATGCTGCTTGTCACTGCTGTTACTTCAGCATTGCTCTTTATTTCTTTTTCTTAAGGATCAATCAAATTACAGTCGATCCAAAACCATAATAACTTGAAAAGCAAGTCCTTTGCAGTTGCCAGGCTGCTGAGAGATATTCCTCTTCATGCTGGATTTCTAAATTCAAATTTTCTCTCTTTTTCAGACAGACATAGAGCTCCTCATTTCCACTTCATTGTGCACTGCATGCATGATGTTCAGCTTTACAAGGCTAGACAGAAAAGCCTAACCTCAAAACCTCTGGTTAGGTCTATCTGACAGACTTTCATTAATTTTCTCTTGAAATGAACAATTCACAAACTCGCTGCTGGTAACTAAATGTCATGAGGTTTTAATTGAGCCAAACAATATTGTTTTGGAAAATCAAGACCACAGTATCACAGAACAACATAATGTATTTTTTTAATAAAATAAAATAGAAGAAGGTTCTATATTAAAAATATTTTACCTTAGATTTCGTGGCAGTAGAAGGTCTTAAACATCCCCTCTAGCCAAGGACTGGTGAAGATAAACAGTCTTTTCTTTTTGAATAGTTAAGTGTAAACTGTCAAGTTACACAGACCTAAAGTTGTTTGGATTTCAGGGGTTGTAATTAAGTTAATTATGGAAAACAAACTATATGGAGGCTTAGGAGATTGTAACTATACAGTATGTTATGAATCCAGATATCATGAAGATGAAGAAAAAGTTAGATCTGTTATTTCAGATTTAATTTTTTTATCCTTAATTTCAAAACAGGTTTTATAGCCCAAATATACTGAATGCTTGATTTAAGAAACTGTAAACTTAATACCATGGTTGGGTGTACTTACTTAGGCTTGAATTCTCCTAGAATTTCTGACCATTTACTGAGTTTGAAAGACTTAACATAACTGTATTAGAGAGATTATTCAACAGTAAAACAAATATGCGTTAAATTGGTATTAAAAAAAAATCCTCAACAGCTGTTCATGGCTGGAAAAACAGCTTGAGAAACACATTCCTTGCAACCTAAAAATACTAGAGGAAGTAACCTCAAGTACCTTTAGATTGGGAGTATTTTCAGAAAATGAATATGCAGCATTGCCTTCATAATGCTGCCTGAAAATAATTTACAAAAATATAGAATTCACCAAATATGCCGCCTTTGATTCAGTTCAGTGAAGTTTTTTGCATTTCCTTTTTTTCTTTCATTGTAAGCATTCTCAAACCATGTACACATTATAGTCTTTTCCTATGTGTGCAATTAGCTGCTGCTTCCCCTTTGATGACTCAAATCACAGGGGCCACTTCAGTGGAAGAAACAAGGGAGCCAGGTAAACTTATGAGCTGCAGCCTTGGCTGCCACAATTATTCTCTGTGATGTTATCATTTTTATTACCAGAAAATAACAAACGGTGCTACTAGGGGTTCACCCTCTAATTCAAAGATATATAAGAATTTGAGAATTCCCACTTGGAAAAATTCTCAACTTTTACAAAGAGAACATAGAAGGAAGTTGGTGGTGAATTCATCATAGTGATTTACTTCCTTAGAGCATTTTGCTGTGTTCAGTGTTTAACATGCATGATCTCAAACAGAATGTTACACCACTGACTTTATATATTCCTAGTTTATTTTTGTGGTAGATGATTTCTAGAATTAAGGTGTTTTTACAAGTAAATTAGTAATTGTGGCTTGTAGGACTTCCAAGGTATATGATGATGACAGTTCTCTACGTGACCACAATGTGGAGATTCTGCTTGTTATGCAGAGCAAAGTTTTTCTTCTGGCTGCTAGGTGACTTACAGTGATGTTAATTTTTTGTTGTTTGATTTTTTTTTCAGCTTTCCTTTGCAGCAACAACCCCAGAGTTGGCAGATAAGAAAAAATACCCTTATTTCTTCCGGACAGTGCCATCTGATAATGCAGTGAATCCAGCAATTTTGAAGTTACTCAAATATTACCAGTGGAAGAGAGTAGGAACTTTAACCCAGGATGTACAAAGATTCTCTGAGGTAAGATTTCCATAATTTCTAGTACACAAAGAGAGCTACTAATATCTGACTTTCAAGGGGCTATTTCCTCCTTTAATAGCAGTTAAGAAAAATGAAACAGACACTCTGTTTTCAGTCTTGTTTGACTTTGTCTTCTCACGTCACATTTGATGTACTGAATAAACTTAATTCCCTTCTGGGGCTTGATTGTCCATAGTAAAAACTACCCATGCTTTCCCTTGACTGTTTTTTTACACCAAAATAATTGCACTCAAGTGCAAAAAACCAAGCCCACAGCTTTTTTGTTTGTTTGTTTTTGTAGCAGGTTCTTTTATTTAATTTAACTTGCAAAGTGTACAATTTGTGAAGAAGGCTTGTATCCTGACAATGGTCCACTTGAAAGTTAGAATAAATTTAATATCATTGTCTTCCTTTTCATTTATTGTAAGCATAGGTCTGATCAGTCTGAATGTTGAAGGACAAAATCTGCTAAGTCAGTGGCTGTAAACTGAAGCCCCAGAACAGATAATTTAACAAACTATGCACCCTCCAAATCTTCTGAGTTTCAACTTCAATTACATTTTGGTTATAGAAATGACAATAAAGTATAGGCCAAGTGCCTTAAGCATGGTTGTAACAGTA